TGCGGCGGCGGATGTCGGAGAGGAGCTCCTTGCGGCCGCGCTGGAAGTTGTCGTTGGCGAACTCCCATTTGTCCGGCACGATCTTCCGAAACCCCTGCGCAAGTAATGACGTCAGATCAGTGGGGGGAGAGAGAGAGAGATAGTAACACGTGGCGGGCAGGCAGTCGATGTAGAGGTTAGGTGACAAATCGGCGCAGCCAATAAGGTGGAATGTGTGTTTTGTGTGGAAGTGGACTAAATTGGAATTTTGCGCAATTAGTACGCAATTGAAAATTTTGTCCAAGTTTAGATTTCTGACGGCAATTTGAGACCAGACTCTGTGAGGGGACTTTCCCCCAATTCAAAATTCTCCACTAATGTAAGCACGCACGATATTGTCTTCTATAAGGTTCTTTTCTCATTGCCACCAACCCCCCCAAAAGAACGGTTTGAGAGCCACAATTACTCATAATAACGATATTTATTTACTGTAATGAGTTAAGGATCATCCATGGGAATATACATCTACCCAATTTTGTATGGTTTGATTTAGGTCCACTATTAATATATTTTTTTTATTTGGTAAATTGGATAAAATGTCTTCAAAATGAAAAAAAAAAAAAAATTGGACAAAGAAATATAGATAAAAATTCAGTTTTTCAGAACTGAACTGTACACTAAACTGGAAAAGTTAGTGGTTTAGAATTCAAAATGTTAACCGTTACAAAATCAGTGGTTAATCATTGATAGAACCGTTCATGATAAAATTTATGTTCTACTGGCCTAACTGTTGATTTGATTCGGTTCTTATAACAATAGATAAACTCTAATGCGAAAAAACTTCAAATGACAAATGACGACTAGTTGTAAAATGAAATAAAATAATGTTTGGTTCGTCTACAGATTTAAGTTTCATTTTGACTGCTTGACTTTTTGCGTCTTAGTAAAACGTGATCACAACTTACCAAAGTAGTTAGATGCCACTAGCATGTATGGACACATGATGAAGGGGAATTTTTAGTTTGGAGCCTAGCTAAATATTAAAATTTGCTTAAATTGTCAACAAAAAGGGGCTTGTATATATATATTTAAAAAATAAAAGTATGTGACAGGTTCATACTTCTTTAACCTCCTCCCCATTTTGTCAATATTGAATTTTGTTGCCCAATAATGACCCATTCTAATGGTGTTTGAATTGGGAGGAGCAAGAAAGTATACAAATAAATAAATGGACATGACACTTTCATGTGCAACCCAATATTTTTGGGTGACCACAGTGACAATTGCATTTCACCCTAAATTTTATGACTATAACGTAACATATATATAATAATTTATTATCACAAATTAAAGTATAAAAATATATTTCAAATTTTTTTGTCAAATTATTTAAAATTCCTATACATGAATACAACCCGAACACCTAAAACATGCAATACTATTATTATTCGTATGATACGAGCTCAAATGGGAAAAGTCATAAATACCCCTCACCTAACATTTCAATTTTAGCTAAGTTATAGGTTAAATTGGACATCACAAAAATATATCACCTTATTGGGTCAGGCAAATTTGGACTGGAACTAACCACTACCTACAAATCCGGAAGCAGGCATAAAAAGAAAAATCGAAGAACAAAATCTTATTTTCCGCAATCAGTCGATTACAGACGAAGTTTCCTTTCTTCAATTTTGTAATATCCAAAATTTTCATTTTTCGGTTAAATAATATCATTTGCCTAACCAATCACGACTCGTTTCAACCGTTTCCAACCAATCAAGAAAACAATTGAACTGACCACCGAAAACGCACAATTCTGAGCATTAGCAGAAAAGGAAAAATGGCGGAGGCAGGGGAGGGGGAGAACTTACGTAAGTATTGAGCTGGCGGACGAAGCTGGAGAAATTGTTGTGCTTAAAGTAATTAGGGAGCAAATCCTTGGCGAAATCGGCCGTCTTCCACACCACGAACGTCGCGCCGGTCTCGCTCCACGAAACCACATCGTCGGTCGCCGGATCATCGACCAGCTGGAACGTCTTCGTCAGAAACGGCGCCGGCACCGATCTCTGAGCCATATTTTCCGCTCGATTTTAAAAAAACACCACCGCCACCAAGATTCCCCGAAAATTTTGAGGGGAAACTCTGTGAACAATCAAAATCTATAAAAAGAGAGAGGAACTCTGTTTTGGGTTCCTCTACTGGTAATTAATCTGAGAGAGCTAGAGCTAAAGAAATGGAAATGGTGGGAGGATGGGGTTTGTTCAGATGGTGGTGGCGGCGGGGCAACTGAAGAGAAGGAGAGCGGTGAGGAATTCCCAATCCCAGCAGTAGAAACCGAAGAGGAAATAGTTGGAGCTAGCTATGGTGTCGAAGAGCTGTTTCTGCCTATCTGCTTCCATGGAAGATTGTTGCTGCAAATCCAAGACAGATCATAACTCGGGAGCAAGAAAAAAAAAAAAGAGAGCTAGCTGCTACAGCTGCGTGAAGAAAGGGATGATTGAAATCAGAGAGGATTGAATGAGAGAAGCAATTAAGGAAAGGAAGAACAGATAAAAAAAAAATTCTTTCTCCTTTTTCTCTGAGGTTCCGTGTACGGGAGAGAGTTTTATATAGAAGAGGAAGAAGAAGAAAAAGGAGGAGGAGGAGGAGGAGGAGGAGGAGGGTAGTGGGGGGAGAAGGAACGGAGGGAAGAAAATGAGGTGTAGGTTCTAGAAATTTTGAGAAAACGGAACAGCAACTACAACACACAGTACACTATTACGGGGAAAAGAAGAAAATTCAGATGGAAACGTTTTCTTTTCCTATTATGCCTTTTACGATGACGACGGACAATAATAATCGCACAAAGGTTTGGGGTCTGATTAAAATAAATTAAATTAAATAATCGCACACTTGTCCATTCTTCTCTCTTTTTGTCCTCCAAATTATATAAGGAGGTTCCCTCGCATAACCCATCCCATTTTACTTTTCATGTGTTGTGCGCATAGCACGGAAGGATAGCTTGGTCCTTTTGTTAAGCTCAATTAATCAATTAAATAAATACAAAGCTTATTGCTGGAGCTGGACGGAGTCACTTAAATAAAGACAAAACTGATTTCCTCTGCTTATTTCCAATAAGGCATCGGAACACACATATTACTGGAAGGAGATGGAAACTTCAAACTTGAGTACTCCTCCCATACATATACTGAATCGCTAAATGTCGCTCTAAGAATTGCTAAACATCGCCCTAACTTAAAAATCAAATTACCTAAATACCCTTAATGAAAATTAGAAAATAGAACCAACCAAACAGCCCTTCCCCTTCCCCTTCCCCCTCTTCCCACGCGACCCCTCCCCTCTCTGCAACTCCCTTCCCCCACCTCCCGCCGCCGGCCGGTCCTGCTCCCGTCGCCGCCCCCCGCCAGCCTCGCCGCCGCCCCGCCGCCAGCCTCGCCGCGCCCCTGCTCCCGTCGTTGCCGGAGAAGAAGGCCGCGCCCCCGCCAGCCTCGCCGCCTCCCTTGCCAGTGCCAGCCTCGCCGGCCGCGCTTCGACGCCAGCCCGTCGCCGCCAACCCTGCCTCGCCGGAGAAGAAGGTAAGGAAAAAAAAAAAAAAGTTGCCCGAACCGCGGTCAACGCGCGGTCAGACCCGACGGTCAACCGCGGTCAACGCGCGGTCTGACCGGCGGTCAACCGCCGGTCAGACCGCGCGTTGACCGCCGGTCAGACCGCGCGTTGACCGCGGTTCGGGGCTTTTTTTTTTAAATTCTGTTTTTAAAATTCTGTGTTTTATTATTCGTTAAATAAATGTTAATAATAATAAAAAATAAAAAAAATATACATAATAAAAAAAATTAGTTATATTATTGATAAATACTAATTTAGTTATAATGATAATTAATAATAACGTATTCTATAAATTTTAATTTAGTTATAATATTAATTTAGTTATAATTTAGTTATATGATATAAAAAAATTTAAAATCGTATTCGATAATTGTTAATTAAAGATAACAAATTTAAAGAACATTATAAAAAAATTAAAAATGTGTTTTTATCATTTTAATAATCAAAATTTCAAAGTAATTCGTTTATCTACTTAATTATTAATAATTTTACCTTGATTAAAAAGTAAATAATTATTACATAGAACGTAACATAAATGTTAAAACTATTAGTTTTATAATTTTAATTATGAAAATCTTAAATTAATTACTTTATGTACTCCATTATTAATAATTCAAACTTTTTTTTGAAGATGTCTGGACATGGAATGGGTAAACCGGATATGATTAAGGCGAGAAATAAGGAGAGAATGGAGGGTCGTGCTTGTAGACTTACGGCGACTGGTAGGAAGGAAAATGAAGAAAAAAATCCACCTAAGGTTAGAAGGAAGAAGAAGGCGGATGTAGTGCGTCCTGACGGCCACCCTACTGTGGGGGCAGTTGTCTCTTTGTCGAGGCACTACTAGTACTCCTACACCAGATACCGCACCGGTATGGCAGGCTAATTGGAGTGATTCCATTGACGAGGATGATGATGATGACGGTGATGCTGAGGTTGGGAATGCCCCAGATGCTGGTGCTGCTGCTGGTGATGCTGCTGTTGATGGTGCTGGTGATGCTGAGGCTGGGGATGCCCCACCTCAAGCTGATTTAGGCGTGGGGAAGACGGCACGGGTCGGGGTATCTTCTACTGCCTCCTCCCACTTCCGTGGGCCCGATGGACGCTATGCGTCCAGACCTAGTAGCGAGGATGGCGGAGATGGAAATAGGAAGAGGAAGACCACGAGGAAAGATATGTCGTGGTTTCTTACAGCCGAGTCTCCGATATGTTCAGGTGGACCAGTGATTCCCGATGTGATCCCTAGCTTTGGAGGTCACATTGGCTTGGTACTGTGGAATTCCCCTGAGCAGGACCGTGGAGTGTTGGACGGCTTTCATAGGCCGAGAGCTGTAGAGACTTTGAGGCGATATAAGTGGAGTGCAGAGGGTTCCAAGGAGATGGTTGAAGCCACAGGATTGTCTCACTTGACAGGGTGCATGATGCAGCATTTAGACATGGCTCTACTGTCGGCATTTGTGGAGAGGTGGCAGCCGGACACAAACACCTTCCACATGCCGTTTGGAGAGATTTCGATCCTTCTACACGATGTGCATCACATTCTTCGGATACCGGTTGACGGACAGCTGATGGGAGATGAGGCGTCGCAGGATACTCTTAAGTCAGACATGGGTGGTCTAGTTCGACTTCCGGTGGATGCTCAGGTTGGTGGTAAGTGGAAGTCTAAGTGGTACGATAATGGTGCTATGCATGCAGAGGGATTGTTGGTGCGTGGGGGAGAGCTGAAGATTAAGGAGATGGAGGTGCAGTGTTACCTGTTTGTGTTACTGGGATCCACGCTTTTTGTGGATAAGAGTCGTGATCGCCTTCGTCCTGCGATCAACTTGTTTTCTGTCATTCACTGCCTTGTGGATATTCCTTGGTGGGACACCGGCTGATCTCAGCTCTCTGATGTATTGCTTGTCCTCTGTAGTCAAAACATTCCTTCCCTTTGATCCCTCCGGAAATAGCTCCAACTGATGATTGTGGAAACCCAAATTAGCACCAGGATTCTTTGTATTTGCCACCCCTAGGATCAACCAATATCCATCACCTGACCGCTCAAGCTTGATCTTAAACTCGCACCCCAACTTTTCAGTAGATGTAAGAGGCCTCGTTTCCTTACTCGGATCAGGTTCCTTCGACTTCTTCTTCCTACCATGAGTGCAATGTAAGTAATGTCGCCAAGTACCTTCATTCGTATTTTTTTTGTTCGATGCCCTCACCAAATAAAACCCAAAACCCTTTGCAATCTCAATGGCTGCTTCATATGCTTGCAACTCCGTAGTGTATTTCACGCCATCAATGAAATCCGAGGTGTAATCATGGCCATCCGGATTGTAACTTCCAATATCCTGCAATGTTATCAGTATTAAAATTAATAATCATCATAACTTCATATGCGAATCTATTATTTATGCAATAAATTTAATCTTAATTTGTAATGCAAAATCTAATCTTAATTTTCTAGATTAACACCAAATTAAATCTAATCTTAATTTAAGGCCAAATCTAATCTTAATTTCTAATGCTAAATCCTTCAATTTCAAAAATCTAATCAAAACCCAATAAATCTAATAAATTATATTAATCTTAATTTGTAATGCAAAATCTAATCTTAATTTTCTAGATTAACACCAAATTAAATCTAATCTTAATTTAAGGCCAAATCTAATCTTAATTTCTAATGCTAAATCCTTCAATTCCAAAAATCTAATCTTAATTTCTAATGCTAAATCCGTCAATTCCAAAAATAATTATGCAAATAAATCTAATAAATTATATAAATCAAAACCCAACAAATTATTTCATGGAACAATCATAAATCATATAAAAAATAAAAAATTATTCAACGGAAAAAAAAAACAAAAAAATGCCCAACCGCAAGTGACCTGCGGTTTGACCATGGTCGGACCGCAAATCACCTGCGGTTGAGCCATTGGTGGACCGCAATTGACCTGCGGTTGGACCATGGCTGAACTGCAGGTGATTTGCGGTCCGACCATGGTCCAACCGCAGGTCAATTGCGGTCCACCAATGGCTCAACCGCAGGTGATTTGCGGTCCGGCCATGGTCCAACCGCAGGTCACTTGCGGTTGGACCATGGTCGGACCGCAAATCACCCGCGGTTCCCAATTTCTGTGTTTTTTTTTTTGGTTCATGTTCTTACCTCGTCGGAGTCGCTACTCATGATTCAGACGTCCTATCGACGATATCGGCTTCAAAATGACGATGAGAGATTTTTCTCTCCTTAGAGAGTGTTTTTTTAGTCCAAGTGATGTTTGTTTGAGGAAGGGAAGGTAAAGAAGCTATGGGGGTTAAAAGTGTAACTTTTATTCTTTTTAGGGCGACCTTTAGCAATTTTAAGGGCGACCTTTAGCAACTCCCTACATATATCCCTCATGTATGAGAAAAGAGAAGCTTTAAACTAGATCCACTCCCTTCCCTCATTACTTTTTAGTTAATCATATTTAATGTGTTCTAATTCAAACAATAAATTTTTTAATAAAATTTAAATTAATTGTACTTTATAAAATTATATCCATTTAGATATATTTTGGATTAGAAAAATATATTAGTCAAGCAAACTATAACATTCATGAACTATAATTTCTTCTACAGTAATACCCGATCTATGTGGCAGTTTCTAATCATGCCCTCACCGTCAATTATTCATTAGATTGCCATGATAGTGGATCCCACCTTGCTGACTCGACTTTGACTAAACTCTCAATCTGGCCAAAGTCATCCTAGAATGATCATGATACTCCCGACTTAATTCACGATTTACAAAATAAAAATAAAAACCACCACAAATAGAAAATGAGATTCATGAAGGTTTGATTGTTCTCATCATCAACCCTAAACTTTCCGAAGTCATTTTTACATAATGGACAGTAAAATCTGAAAACATGGAACAGAGCAAGTTGACATGGTTCATAGTCACCCTCCATTCATCAACTGGTTTACCCAACGCTTCGACAATAGCTAAACAATATGAGGTAATTAAGGTCGAGCAAAGTTCACAGTTTGCCTTTCTTGCCGCTTCACAAAAGCCTAAGTTGTGTGGCAAGGATTTTCTCATCTTTACCGTCGTAAACCTTCCTCGATGCATTCTTTTCAATCACAGCAATGCTCACCTACTAGATGTCGATTTTGAAAGTGCCATCACAAAAGATCACTTTGTAGTAGATCCTCGACGGAGGGACATGGATCTTATGGTATTACCTTGACTAAGAGGGATGACGTGAAAATGAATCTTCCCCAATACTAGACCAGTCCTCAAGCTCACAAGCTGCATGTGATGAGACAGCGGAGAAGGAAAAACATTCTCAAAGTCGAATTCATTTCTTGCTTTCCATATTTGCCACCAAATAATCAAGTCATTAACTGGTTTGGAATTCAATCTATAGATTATCAATTTTTGTGTTGATCACTCGGTTATTTATCACTGTTAGGCCAAGTCCAATGCTAGCCCCCAAATTTGGGGATCTTCATCCCTAAATTTGGAGATTCTTCCCATTTTGCTCCAATGCTACCATCTCCAAATTTGGGGATTTTTCATTTTTTCTAGTAGTTCTTTATTTAAAAATGTACTTATGATCATCTTAATCAAATTTATTCATGTTAATTTTAATATAGATCGTCATTATTTTTAAATACAAATTTTCCGATAGAATTTTTATAAATTTCGATACCGAATTATTTTTTATAAAAAATAATTGACCTAATTTTTCTTTACACATAATACTTAAAAATGATAAATCTAAAGGTGATTCCCTAATTTTTCATCATTAAAGCACTAATTAAACTCTTAACCTTTAATTAAACAAAAAAAAAAAAGAAATTGTGGCGTGCACAACCGCCAGCCCGGGTGGTGTGCCGCACGCGCGCGGGAGAGCAGCTCTTCCGCAGGCGTGCGGCGCACCGCCCGGGCTGGCGGTTGTACCCTCCACCACCCCTCCCGATCGCCAAAAATGCAGGGATCGGCATTCCCTTCGCCAAAAATGGAGACCCAAATGGCGATTTTCGCCATTAATAGCGATTTGGGCTTAAATGGCGACTCCATTGGAGTCAGCCTTAGGGAAAATAACAAATCTCATAGAATGTTATTGACTCGAACGATGTAAATTCTTCTGCATGTAATGTTTTGTGTTTCCAAATATTTTACTATAAATGATCGGCTTCCACTAAAATTAAATAAAAAAGGAAGAACCTATTGTTAAGTATTTAGTTAAAAAAATAGGGTTATTAGCATGTCCAAAATTGAGCGAGTAATTAAATAATTTGAACATTTTTGTGGTATCGAATGTAACATGTGTTGACACTTCCTTCTCCGCAAGCAATCTACCCTATAAATTGCAAGTTTGGTGAGTATAAAAAAGAACAACAAAATTCGCAATAGGCATGGAAGAAAGAATGCATTGATCGATCTCTGACTCTCAGATAAAATGTTGCCTTTTTGTCCTCTACCAGCCTTATTAATATTTGGAAAACATAGCTTTTAGGTCAAATAATATATTAATTATTAAATTATTGTATTATACCTGTCAAATTATAATCAAGTTATGAAAATCTTAAATTATTACCATTACACGTATATTTTTATAATATGGATAAATGGCTTAAATCAGTTGGACACCAGATCCAAACATTGAAACTCAAACCATTTGTTTGACTAGTTCAACGACCTAAACCTGTTTGACAACCTTGATTTGAACCATATGCTTGCGATGCATTATAGACACATCCTATCAATTACTTATACTAATAAGAAAGTATTAGCTTTTAAATGTTTACCAAGAATATCTAAATTTTTAAAGCATGTGCTGGCAGTAAGAAATTATTAACTAAAATACCATGTCAATTATAGAACCTTGATGATGTGTCAATGGCCTTGAATTCGAATAAACAATATTTATCCAGAGATCAAACATTTTCGGTAAAAAATACAATGGTATACTATAAGGGACCAAAAAGCATTGGTTGAGAGTAATTCCTAATTTGAGAATAATCAACTAATGTATGTTGTATAAGATAATAAATTTGAGTATTGTGATTGAAAAATCAAGGTATAATGTCTTCCATGAAGAGTGTATAAACCTCCACGTTGACAATGAGTCAGCATATAGAAGATAATTGAGAAACCATTATATATGCTGAAAATTTTCAACATAAGCCTATGAGATAAATAACAAACTGTCAATAATTAGTGATTAAACTTCTTAACATAGAAATATATATTGTTTATGACAGTGATAAAAAACATTGATTGATTGTTGACTACGAATATTTGATAACATAATGTTACGACAAAACAAACCATTTCGTATATTCAAAATAGTAAGATACAAGGATAAGTTGATTTTGCGTAAAACACAATTGCTCCTACCAATAGGTGGTTTTATGCATTGAAGAAATATTCTCCGGATCCGCAAAGTAATGAAATGCAAGGGAAGAGGGAAGAGACAATTGATAATGTAGATAAATGTCTCACTAATAGAGATGAAGATATTATTAATAATTGAGATGATGGTGTTGTTCATGATGGAGGACATGCAAAAAAGTTATAAAGAATACATGCAACATTCTCTAACGACGAGGAGTAAACAAAGGGATAATTTGAGAATGTTTTTAGGAGTTGGTGCCCTTGCATAGGGTTTGTTTTTCATTGTCGTAAAACAATTTTAGCCGATTAGTCACTGAAATGTTAGAGAATAGTACAATGTGACTCTTTCGAATTTTTGAAGTATTTTAATAATTTAGATTCTCTTATTCTTCCAAACAATTTGAATATTTTGAATATTTGAATGATTCAAATTTTATTATACTGCCAAAAAAATCTATTTATGTCGCATACAAATTACTACTGGTGTTTATATGATTGGTGATGCAATCC